GCTCTCTAACCTAGGGCTTTGGCTATGTGTATGTCATGTATGTGACTCGGACGTTGAACGTACGTGTGTGTGTGTGTGTGTGTGTGTGTGTGTGTGTGTGTGTGTGTTCGTGCGTGCCCAATGCCTCTATGACATATTTTGTTCATATTTGTTTCATGACTACGTTTTGTAGCATGCAAAAAGCATGACAGGGTTCAAACCCGGAAACCAAACTCTTAGTCTATTTGTTTACACCAGTCCCGTGAAGATTCCTGGTGAGAATTGGTCTTAAGCAACCCATGCTTGAAAAACTAACGGGATCGGGTGGTCAGCCTCGCTGACTTAGTTGCCGCATGTCATCGTATCCCAATTGCGTAGATCGATGGTCATGATGTGAATCACTGGATTGTCTGGTCGGGACTCTACTATTTACGGTTATATAACTGGAATATTGCTGAATGCACCGTTAAACAACGAACAACAACAAAGAATAAATTAAAAAATGAATCTAACTCTTGTCTGGAAATGACCCGGTAAGTCTAGATTGCTTTTTCTACAAATCATGCATTATTCTGGGTTCCATTTGAATGTGTTGTTTTTAAAATATGACTACTTTGTTTCTAGGACGAAGTGACCCGTGAAGATCCGGGGGAAAATAGATCTTCAGCAACCCATGCTTGCCGTAAAAGGCGACTAACGTGATCGGGTGGTCAGGCTCGCTGACTTGGATGATGTATGTCATCGATCCCAATTGTGTGGATCAATGCTCATGATATTAATCACTGGATTGTCTGGTCCAGACTCGATTATTTACAGACCGCCGTCATATAGCTGGAATATTGCTGAGTGCGGCGTTAAACAACAAACCAACCAACCAATCTAGGACGAAGTGTAAGTCGAGTGTTTAACAAACAATCCAAAGTTACATGAGCATTAACATTTTAGTTATGTTATGTCATAAATTCCATAAAGGCGAGAAGAAAGGTTATTTTGTAACAGTGAGTGAGTAACGCCGCTGTTAGCAATATTCCAGCAAATATCACGGCGGGGGACACCAGAAACGGGCTTCACACATTGTACCCGTGTGGGGAATCGAACACAGGTCTTCGGCGTGACGAGCAAACGTTTTAACCACTAGGCTACCCCACCGCTCATTATCGTTTGTAAGGAAAAAGTAATGATTGAATTTGGCATCGGGTTTAAAATGGTCATTAAATGTGTTCCAAATGTACACCACCGTCACTTGACAAGAGTTTGTTTTGTCAAGTAGGGAGATCCTGCTTTTAACTCCTACTGTGAAATGATATCACCCTTGTAGCTTAAGGCCGAGGATATCCGTGCAAGATTATTCAGTAATTCTCACTGATGATGATAACTTCATACTGATTGGTTAATTAATGCCAATTTGTTTAAATTGTTCGCGAAGCGGTCCGTAGACAAGAAGCGGCACAATAATTAAAAATGACGTCATCCGCAATTCATGACATTGCAGCCGCTTGTGACAGTGAAACCCACGTTTTCTTCATTATCTCAAGGGGGGTTAATCCATGAGGGGACCCAGGGTTCCTCAATAGGCATCTCTAGTCGTAAGAGGCGACGAAAAGGATCGGGGGGGTCTGATCGAGATCCGATTATTTATAGGCCACTGGAATATTGCTGACGCTGATATTAAGGCCTATTAAGCTGATATAAAGCTTTCAAAACAAAACGTTTTATAGTAGACATTTGGAGGACATTTGTCTGGTCGGGACTCTACTATTTACGGTCATATAACTGGAATATTGCTGAGTGCACCGTTAAACAACGAACAACAACAAAGAATAAATTAAAAAAATGAATCCAACTTTTGTCTGGAAATGACCTGGCAAGCCTAAATTGACTCTTCTCCAAATCATGCATTGTTCTGGGTTCCATTTGAATGTGTTGTTTTTAAAATATGACTACTTTGTTTCTAGGACGAAGTGACCCGTGGAGATCCGGGGTAGAAAAGATCTTCAGCAATCCATGCTTGCCGTAAAAGGCGACTAACGGTATCGGGTGGTCAGGCTCGCTGACTTCGTTGAAGCATGTCATCGATTCCAATTGCGTGGATCGATGTCCATGATATCAATCACTGGATTGTCTGGTCCAGACTCGATTATTTACAGACGGCCATCATTTAGCTGGAATATTGCTCGGCGTTAAACAACAAACAAACAATCAAGTTATCGATGAACCAGAAAATCCCGTGACACGAGAGTACTATTACTGATTTTTGGAAACTTACAAAAACGGTATGTTTAAATTTTGCTACTTACAAGTGAAGAAAAACGTTAGAAATATATGCTTTTCGCAACACAGTAGGGCGCAGTTTTAACCAGCAGCAACATCGACCCAGTTCAAGTAAATATATAAACTGCCAATACAAAGAGAATAACAAGCCAGTTCGAGTAAATACAAATTGTCATTGCAAGAAAACAACCATCCCAGATAACCAGCCTAGATAAACACTTGCTCATGGTAGAGTCAAAATCGTACATTCGGCTGCTTTTGTAAAAGATTTCTTATGAATTTTTGTGTTTTGTGGCATGTGTTTTCAAAAGCGTACTCTTCTGTCCTTACAAAGACAGTACTGTTTGCTGAAAGAACATGCAAACTATGTTCTGCCATGTTCAACAAATGAATATAACTGAAAGGAAAGTCACTTGTCATTGTATATCCTATACGTACTTATCAAAAGAGCGCATTCAAAATAAGTTTTTGTCGACATTATTTGTCTCGAAACGTCAAAAACATGTAACGTCAAAACCACGTAACGTCAAAAACACGGTTTCAATGAAGCAAAAACTAAATGTAAACAGCAGGAAACGAAAGGCGGGTGTGTACGATGGCGTGTCCCACAACTATCTGGTGGGAAAGAAATTGTTTCTCCCCCAATTATTTGATTACCCACTATGTTTCCCATGTAACGTATTTGCGCGTAAGGAGGGGCAGTTATCCTATGTGAAAATACATCATAGTTATAATAGATCAGGGCCAAACGTTTTTAGGGTGGGACAGTGTACGTCCCATCCCCTCTTTCAATAAATGTTTATGTGTAGAATGATATGACAGAATGTACATAGTAATGTGTTCAAATACCCTATAGAAATATTGCTGTAGACCTCGGTGCAGTGAAGGCGCCATTGTTAGTTCTACCTGACTTGTCGGTGAGAGTAAAGATTATGTGAAAATTAATACTGAGACTAAGATAGGAATACTATATAGGGGAATGTACTGTCCAGTAGGAAATGTATGCGGGGTTCATGAACAGCCTTAATTTTGATCTCTTCCTGCTTAGTGTTCCGTGTACGGAGACCTGTGAAGATCCGGGGTAGAATTCAGCAACCCATGCTTGCCGTAAAAGGCGACTATGCTTGTCGTAAAAGGCGACTATGCTTGTCGTAAGAGGCGACTATGCTTGTCGTAAAAGGCGACTAACGGGACCAAGGGACGAAATTGTGAAGAAATTGTGGTGGCAACTAGTTAAATATCATCCGAAAGAAAAACATCAAAATATAATGTTTCCTATATTCTGTAAAACGTTCAGTGAGAGTGAAAACATTGTAAATGTTTTAATGACCTTTTCTCGCAACAATTTTCTGTAAATGATCCTGATTAATTAATTATCAATTCAAGTTTGAAATATAACTATATATTGGATAGTATTACCCTTAGTCAGGAAGAAGTACATGACATCTTACTATCAGTTGATACAACTAAGACGGTTGGACATGGCGGTATAAGCAACAGGGTCATCAAACAGTCAGCTAAAAGTATATAAAAAAAACTAACTACACTTTTTAACATGTCATTGCAATCATCCCAATTCCCCACAACCTGGAAGGAAGCACGCGTAACTCCTGTTCGTAAGAAGGGCAGTATAAACGAATCTCCTAAGTACAGACCTATTGCACTCACAAGCTGCTTAGCCAAAGTACAAGAAAATGTGTATTTAAATATGTATTCAACTTTCTTAGAGATAATGAAATTATTAGTATTCTCCAGTCGGGTTTTATTCCTGGTAATTCAACGACTTACCAACTGAACTATTTGTGTGACTTTTATTCTAAAAGCCGTTGATGATGGTAAGGAAGTAAGGGCATTTTTTTGGTGATATAGGTAAACCTTTTTATAAGGTCTGGCACCGTGGATTATTCAGCAAACTAGAGACTTATGGTATTCCAGGAACATTATTAAAATGGTTTGAATGATATTTAATGGATGGAAAACAAAGATTACTTATTAACGGATGTAAATACGAATTAAATTTTGTCGTGGCTGGAGGACCACAAGGGTCTGTACTTAGCCCGCTGCTGTTCTTGATTTACATCAATGATTTAGTTGATAATATTAACAGTAATATTAGACATTTTGCTAACGATGTCCTTGTACATCGTTGTTAAAAAACCCAGCCATTGTAGCTTCAGCATTAAACAATGATCTGGTTGAAATCTCCAACTGGGCGAAAACGTGGCAAGTGAAGTTAAACCCCGAGAAAACTGAAAGTATATCAGTCTCCCGTAAAAATGTACCAGTAAATAGACCAATTCTCCACATGGGTGGAGTCATTGTAAAAGAAATAGAAATGCATAAACATTTAGGCGTAGTTCTCCAGCGTGATACCCACTGGCATTCTCACATAAATATTATTGTATTAAAAGTTAGCCCGATGATAAACTATTTTAGAAGTTTAAAATACTGCCTCTCCAGGAAAGTCTTGAAAGTATGTACAAATAGAAAGATATATTTATAAAGGCTTGCCTGGTAATCAATCCCCTTTCACTGTACCAAGTGGAAATAAAATTTGTCTAGAAAAAAGGTAAAAGTAAAGATTTTTTTAAAAAAGAAAAATAGGTGTCACCAGCGCTTCGATATGGTCCAGATTCAAGGGAGAATGAGGTTGTTCTGGTAAATAAGTGCCAGCCGTTTCTACCTATGTTTTCTAAGGAGGGAACAATAGGTAGACGCGGGGCGTCTGGTCAGGTAGAAGGAAGAACAAGATGGCGGACGTGGGGTCACGAACGACCAGCGGTGAGTCATCGCTCACCTGCTGAACCTTGTTTTACGAGACGATCCTTCCTGTTAAGAAAACTTATGTAATCCCTCCAAAGATCTCGCTGTAATTTACCCGAGTTTAGATGTGGAATTTTACCTTTGTTTGTTAAGACAGGTAGATATTCCAAATCTTCTATACCACCATCGGAGAGGTTACGTAGATATTATATTTTGTGGAAGATGAATATCACTTTTTACAACAATGCAGTTTTTTATGAAGACTTACGGTATAATTTAGTTTGTGCAGCTGAAGAATACAACAAATTTTAATGATACAGTCGAAGAGGAGAAATTTATTTACATAATGAATTCAAACATTTTACAAGTATTGTCAACTCTTTTATAATGTTTAAGAGTCGACAATTATCATTTAATTACATTATTTTATTTTTTTCTCTTTCACTGCCTACCTTTTCTTTTTCTCTCGTTGTTCAAGCTAGGATTTTGGTATTGTTCCCCGTAAGCCATCTGAATTTTTATCTACTACTACTACTACTACTACTACTACTACTACTACTACTACTTCTACTACTACTACTACTACTAATTTCGACCCGTGAAGATCCAGGGTAGAATTGGTCTTCAGCAGCCCATGCTTGCCGTAAAAGGCGACAATGCTTATCGTAAAAGGCAACTAACAGGATCGGGTGGTCAGGCTTGCTGATATGGATGATGTATGTCATCGATCACAATTGTGTGGATCGATGCTCATGATATCAATCACTGGATTGTCTGGTCCAGACTCGAATATTTACAAACCGCCGTCATATACATGTAGCTGGAATATTGCTGAGTGCGGCGTTAAACAACAAACCAACCAACCAACTACTGCTTTCAATATTGTTCCAGCAGGTTCGTCCCACTCGCCCTGACTCCCATGATGAGCATAGATTTGCCGACATGTTGTCTTACGCATCAACATCAACGAATGGCCGACTCTAGTCTGTACATGACAAGTAAGCAGTTTAGAAATATCAGACGTTACTTTTATTATCGTATTTGCACAAGTTTCAGATACATACATACATGTCAGAAGTTTCAACTACACTAAGAAGTTTACTGCACACAGTCGATACATTTATTGTATTTATGAAATGTACAGTTCATGCTAGAAATTTCATATACATAATACATTAATATTTATTCTTTAAGTATTACGTTTGTCGTTTATTATTTTTCAAAATGTTAACATATTCTACATCATATATCATACCATATCTCAGAACAGGTATTCTAAGACACTCACTCAAGATATTCTGATACAGATTTATTTTGAATGAGTGAGTGATTATGGCAATATTCCAGCAATATCGCGGCGGGGTCACTAGCAATAACCTTCAAGCAGTGT